TCAGGCCACCCTAGATGTCCTGGGGAACACTGCTGACGTCAAGGAGAGAGGCACTAAGATCACAGATAAGAGTTCATATCAAGAACTGACTCGTGACCTGGGTGTGGGGACACACGTCTGCATTCCCACTGTTCTAGGAGGCTGAGGCAGGAGGTTTACAAACTCAAGCCCAGCCTAGACAATTTAGAGCCTGTTTCAAAATAACAAGGGTGATGTAGCTCAATGCTCAATCACGGGGTTCAGCCCTCAGACCACAAATACACACATAGGTAAGTCCTGCCGCCTTCATTATCTAAAACTAACAAACGAACAGCCTAACAAGTACTGCTATCTAGTTTAGGACACTAGAAATCTCAGTAACCTGAGCCTCCTCTTTAACATTTCTAGACTTAGTACATCACCTGGAAGAGAGGCAAAACAATATTCTGCACCTTACAGAGGTGTTACCTAACTAAAACAGATAATGGAAGCGATGCCCTTAACGCTGTGCTTGGCACATACTTAGTGCTCAAAATAAATGAAATCATAGATCACACACCATTTAAAAACAGAAAAATAAAGCTCACATGACTAAACTATTCTCTTTAAGATAGTTAAAATATTTTAGTCTTAAAGACTAAGATTCTGGAAAACTTACTTTTATATGCTCTGTGCTAACAGGTAATTAAGGTTAACTGTACTAACAGGTAATTAAGGTTTACAAGGCAAATTTGCCTCTCAAGAAATCACATGATACACCATAAATTCATTCTTAAATGTATGGGTATCAGTTGTGTTTTTGTGTCTCTTATCCACTTGATTTTGTTCCTCATGACCGCCACAGCAGAGATCATTAAAGTGTGTGTGGCTTTTTAAATAATTAAAACACATTTATATACACAAAAGATCATCTACCATGTGTCAAAAATGATGTGGACTGACTTTAGGGAGCCTCAAGATTACTAACGAGATTAAAAAAGCCCAGAGCCAGGAGGAGGTACACCACCCATCCCCGGTTAGTGCTGATGACAAACTGCTGTATTCAGTGTGTATTTCTCTACTACTTAAATAGGTGTAAAACTGAGCCACAGCAGACAGACGCGCAGAAGAAGCAGCTATCATCTAACCCGCAAGGGCCAGGGAGAAGTAAGCAGTGCTGTACTGCATGTTGAAGATGGGATTGAGCAATTAACCTTGCTGTGGAGTCAGGAAATAGGTGCGATATGTTTTTACTTAAAATGTATGTGTAAATTCTGTAAAGTATAACAACATAAATAAAAAATAGTGGGGAGAACACCTAAATGTTTACCTACATTGTTTCTGGTAAGATTTCACAAGGCCTTACTTTTCTCTGCACTTTCCTTAATGTGAATCCCTCAGTCTAAAATATCAGTGGAAAAGTGAGAATTAAAATTAGCTATTACTGCTCATCTAACAACTGACACAGATTTTAAAACTTCACAGTGGGCTCAAACAGAGAATGAAAGCACTCTGTTTGCAATGGTGCACAATCAATGCAATTTTTTTTTTTTTTTGGTCAAAATGTTTTTTGACTATCCAAAACCTTAAAGCTTATTCTCTTTGGTCATTTACTTCTAGGAATCCATCCCCAAAACACCAATACAAAGAAAAAAATGTTACTGAGAGGTTCAATCAAAGCATTAGGATACTAACACACTGGGCGGAAAACAATGCCAAACAGAAACACAATAGTTGGATAAAACAACACACTGTTAGGAAGAAAATCCTGAAATGCTTTCAATACTCTGAAAAAATATTTAGTACATATTATATGAGAATGAAGAGGTTGAATTCAAACCTCTATCAGCAATATGATTCCATACATACCAAAAACATAACCAAAAAAAAGTGTATCTTTTTTAGAAGCAAACTGGCAGGAAACATAATTCTGCTGTACTGTTTATCTCACAGGAGCTGACTTTAACATCCAGTAGGCTACAGACCTTAATATTTGCTTTGACAGCGACTCTGCCTGGGTGCGTTGGCAGCCTCCGCCGTTATTAAGAGTGGATCAGGGCTGCAGGCCCATGAGGCATACTGGCCCTTAAAACTCAAGAAATTACATTAGAACATTTAAATCAAATTTCAGATTTCAGATCAGGTCTCAAGATCTCAGTATTTTAGATTTATATTTGAAATCTTGATCTAATGTATTTACTATTTTTCTTCCTGATACAAACTAGCCCTAGACTCCAGTGGTCATCTCCATGACCACGCTGGACATGTGCCAGGTGCTGCAGACACCGACCCCAGGACGCCCTCTGTCTGCCATCATTCCTTGCCTCGCCCGGTACACGGCTAGCTTGGCCATGACCCCCACTTGCCTCCTGGAATCCCACCTTTGAGGGACTGTGTTTCTCATTTCTTCACTTATGGCACTTGGTACATGCCACCTGGCATTATAGTTTCTCTGTTCACAGCCTGTCCTCTTAGAGGTTAGAGATTGTGCCCAGCACATGGACCAATATAAAAATAATTACTTTTTGCCAATCGAAAAGTAGTATGCCACTTTCAAATGAACAGTAACTGGCATATTAGTTTATAATCTTACATTGCAAAACTAAAGTACTAAAAATTTCCCTATTTAACATCGTTATTAAAATGGCTAGTAAAGTGAAATCAAAGAATTCTAAGCCAATGTAGAAATAAAATGAGAAACACTAAATGGGTATAAAGTGACAGCAACCCCTTTACACGTGTTATAGTTAAATGTGGGAACTATTGTGGTCTGCTAAACTGAAGTCAAGTTACCCTAATAGGAGAATGAGAAAAATATTTTAAAGATAATTTCTGGTAACCACTTCCAAACTGGACAACTTGGAAGACATGGCCTATTAAAAATACAGAGAAGCCTGCAATATAAAATAGGATATTTTTATTATTCTAGTAATTAAGGCAGAAATTTAGTAAAGGAAATGACTAATAAAACTATCAGCATACAAACATTCCCAGTTTGTTTCTTATCCTTTAATATTTTCCATTATACTAAAATAGTTAGACTTTCATTATTAAGTAGGGGTCTAAACATACTGATCTCTTCATTGCTTCATTTACAAGTTATTTTGGGTTAAGGATAGCGCGGGACTAGCGTACATATGGCCCAGGGTTCAATTTGCATCCTCCCCAAAAGTTCGTTTTATTTGGGTAATAATATTTTAAGTGTTTTATGATGAATAGATGCCAAAAGTTTCTAACTTAGTTTGAAAGTAAAACTCTTTCTTTAAATAAAAATATGCAAACATTTTGAATGATGGTTTTAAAGTCTATGGACCATTCTGTATTGACAGTACCTTCAAGTAGAAAGATCTAGGCAACATAAAAATAGCGCGCCAAAGCAGAAGAAAACCAGTGAGGATCGGTGAGAGTCTGAATCAGCATCTTCCTGGGCTTGTCACAGTACGATTAATTTTATAAATAATTCTTTAATGAAGCTATCTACATATTCAAATACCGGAGGATACTAAAATTAAGAAATTGCTGCTAAAATTAATTCTGTATGTAAATGATTAAGTAAATGAAAGTCATACTCTGTACTTGGAACTTCTCAAGGTTCTTGGAAAGCCTAAAAAAATGTTTGAGAAATGTCCTGTGTTTTCTGTTCGTATCATCATGAGAAAATGTAAAACGCAACGAGGAAAACATAAACGAAGAACTGAAGCACTTTCCCAAATTGCTAAATATATAGTATTTGGTCCCAAGTATCATTGCATCTATTCTAAGATGTAAAAAGAAAAAAAAAATCAGTAAGTGCCTGCTGGGCCTGGAGATATTCCAAAACAACCTTGCAACCAATAGGAAAACTTTCCCTAAATCTGGATTAGTGTTTCATTCTTTACCACAAAACTCAAAGAGCACAAACAAGCAATGTCAACGGACACCCCGAAGGGTAAAAACCTGGTTTGAACAATCAGTCCCCGAAAGCAGCCGCTGTTTTTAAAGACTCTAAGGGATAAAAGATGAAACAGCTGCGGAAAGAAACGCGGGGCTCATCTCCCAAGTTGCATTTGTAATGCCTCTTTGTGGGGAGTTAAAACCTGGAGCAGCCCGGATAAGGCGAGCGAGCCCCTCGCGCAGGGCGCCGGGCCGAGCCCGCGGGGTGCGGGAGGGTTCGTTGGGGCGGCCGGGCCGGGCCGGGCCGGGCGCGGGCTGCAGGGCGCAGGCTGGCGGCTAAGAGGCCGCGCCGGGCGTTCCCGGGTGGCCCGCCTCCGCGCCCCGCGGCCGTGCCCGGGCGGCCGAGGGTCCGCTGCCCTGCCTAGGCCGCGGGCCGGGGACGCGGCCGGCCGCTCCGTCTCGCCTCCGCACCGCCATCGGAGCGCGGCGGGGCCGGCGCCGCCCGCGGCAGGATGCGCCGGCGTCCCGCTCCGCGCCGCCCGGGGCTCGGCGGGGCTCGGCGGCGCTCCGCGGCCCGCCCTCGGGGTCCCCGGCCCGGCCTGGAGCCCGCCGCCCGCCCCGCGCCCCTTCCCGAGGACGAACCTGGCCGGGCGGCCGCCGGCAGCGCGGTCCCGCGAGGAGGCGCCGGGGCGGCGGACAGCCACGCAGCCCGAGCCGCGCCCGCGGCCGCTGCCGGCTCGCGCCGAGGAGGCTCAGCCTGCGAGCGGCGTCGGCCCGGCCGCCATCACGGGCGCCGGAGGCAGCCGGCTCGGCCTCGCCGCCGCTAGGGCTCCGGGCGCGCGCGCGGCGCCGCCATCCCGCCGCCGCCGGCCTCGCGCCGCGCCCTGCGCTCGGCTGCCCTCGGCCGCCGCCGGAGCGCGCTCGGCCGACCGGCACCTGCTGCCGGAGCCCGCCGGGAACTGAGACAGGAAGCCGGCCGGCCGGCCGGGAGCCGGAGCGCGGGGGCGGCCGGGGCGCGGGAGCCTGCCGGCCTGCCTGCTGCGCTGCCGGGTCCCGAGCTGCCCCGCCGCCGCCCGGTGGGCCCGTCCCGAGGGCAGCACTCTCCGCCCCGCAGCCGCCAGCCAGCCAGCCGCCTTCTCAGGGCATGCTTCCCGCGGTTGTTTACTTACAGTCGGTGCTCCGGCAGGAGAAAAGACCACACCCTGCATCGGTGAGACCAAAAAGGAGATTAAACAAATGAAGCTGGAGGGATTTCACCCCGGGGAAGGGCTTCTTCCCTCCAGGAAAAGGGCCTCATGGGAAAGGGCAATCATGGCAAAATCAAACTCCGAGCTGAACCCAGCGGACATCCAGATCTCTTTCGGGACTTAGGAGAAGTGGCCTTTTACACCTGAGTTCGCTGGAGAAGCTCTAGGAGCTGAGAGCCTTCCCACTTCTGTGAATTGACCAACACCCAACAAAATCTAGGTCAGCATTTCAGAAACGTTCAGATACTGTACTCTTATTCTCCTGCTTAGAGGACAGTCACCAGGAGCCTCACTGCTGCCCTGGGCAGGAGGCGTCTGCTGGACTGAGAGGGAAGTGACTGTGTCTGTACAATGTGCAACTCTGCCTTAGAAACATCATCCCATCTAATTGCAGGCACACGTAGGTGAGCCAGGTACTACATCCAATGTATTCACCACATACTGAAATTAGAAAGTTTACCTGCAGTGAATGTACAAACAAATGTTTAGGTATCGCACCTGGAGCACATACTTGGTTTACTGAATCAGACTTCATACCTTTTACCTCACTTTTTGTCTTTAACAGAGTTATTCCTTGCTTTTAGGTTGTTCTCAGTAGGGCGTTGATGGTTTAAGTCTGGATCTTGGGCTACTTAATGGTGGTGATATCCAATTGGAGCTCAGACTTGTAGTTTCCAGTTTAATACTTTTTACCTGCTGTTATGGTTTGTATTTGGATGTACCCCCAAAGCCTCATGCATTTATAAATGAGACTTGGGAGGTGACTGAATAGTGGAACCATAAACTCATCAGTGGATTAGTCTGCTGATGAGTTTGTAGCTGAATGTGATTTGGGAGGTGAAGCTGGTGAAAGGACGTGGGTTCCTGGAAGTGTGCTCAGAAGTCTGTCGTCCTTCATGCTCTCTGCTTCCTGACTGCTGTGCCTTAAACTAAGCCTCCTGTCTCAGCCCCACTACTATACTGCTATGCCTTGGAGCAGCTGACTATGGGCTGAAGTTAATACACACTATCAGTCACAATAAACCTTTCCTCCTTTACATTGTGGATATTGAGTACTGTGTCTCAAAGAACTAAGATGCCCCCTCTTTGGCCTTCGTGGCACAGATGAGCAGCACAGATGTCCCCGTGACTTTGGCTAGCATCTATTGCTCTTTAGCTATGGATGAAAACCCAGCTGAGGGCCTCCTTCCTGCTGATGCCCAGGGCCCATTGACTGTGCTTGTGACCTGAAAGTTTCTCACTGAGCCCATTTTCCATTTCAGTAGACTAGTCTTGGGGCCTGTTTAATAAAATTACAGACAGGAGAGGGTTTTCTGTGGTCTGCATTTTTAGTACCATCTTAAAGGCCCTCAGAAGACTGGCAACATGCTCTCTGAAGCACGACCAAATTTTATTGGCACGAAGGGCAAGGCTGCCTGTGTTTGCTGGGAAAAACCCTCGGAAGTCTCTGTAGTGCAGTTAAGGGGCTGGTTGGCTGACAACAATAAATGACAGCCTCTGTGGCATGCTTTTAGTGATGACAGGAAGTTTCCCTGTTCCACAGCATACTGTTCACACAGTTTACCTCGCACCTTGCATTCCACAATGGACTTTCCTGAGCTTTCGTGTGTCATGTAATGTCTCCAAAATCCGTACAAGGGAATACCCATTGCTATTTCCATTTCACATATGAGAAAACTGAGAATGAGATCACAGTAAATAAGAGTGCAAGAACAAAAATACAGGCGCTTTGACTCTAAGATTAAGACCCTTATGTGAATTAGGTATAGTAGTGGCCCTTAATTATTATTTAGTTGCAGAAATAAAAACATGAAAATCAAAAGAAAATTAAAAGGAAAAATGTTTCAATATGTGTCATGCATAAAAAATGACAAATGGTATAAGAAGACAGAGAATCATTCTGTAGGAATAGTTAAAAGGTGAATCTGGACTTTGGAAAGGGGGAATTTGAATTAAATTGTGCACAATGAATATATTTTAGTAAGTGGGAACGTAAGGCATAGTGTGTCTGTGGAACCAACGGCAACAAAGAATACCTGAGAATTGGGAACACAGCCTTAAGAAAAACCAAGAAAGCGACGTATGACATAATTCCAGGGATTTGCAAAGCAAGAGTGTGTGTGCGCACGTGCGCTTGCTTGGTCTCACATACCCTGTGTCCTAGGGGAGGATCCGTAAAGAGTTTGCTCAGAAGATGATGCCAAGGATGCCTTACTTTAGGAAGATCCAGGCTTTGATGGTTGTTTAGACGAGGTTAGAAAAGAGTGGGAAACAAATCTGAAGGCAGGGACAGCAGAACTGACCTAAAGTAACGATGTAGATGGAACAGGAAGAGGCAGGCTGGCGAGACACCGTGAGCTGAGCCATCGAGGCTTTGTGAATGATCAAACGTGTCTGATGAAGACGGGCTTAAGAGAGAGGTTCAGAATGACTTGGTGGTTGTAAATGTGAAACCTGATGTATTACCAACTGGAAACGGGTAAGTGAAGGGGCTGAGGAGCAGTTTTTAAAGTATTTAGAATCATTTGGCTATAAGCATGCAGTAAAAGTAATACTAGGGCGTGCACATGGAAAGTATTGTGTAGAAAAGGTACAGTGATAAACTTTGTCTGCTATTGAGAAAGCATGAAAATTTTAAATGGCCTCTAATATAAGAGTAACGGAGGATGGCTGTTTATCTTTATAAATCAGAGTTGGAAGAAGGTTTATAATAAAGATAAAATGTTTCTAAGGCTCTGCATTAAGTGGGCATTGGGAATTTCCACTCATCTTTTTATTTAATCACAAGTTATATTTACTTATAGGGAAAAGAGACTATATAGAGAGCAATTTTCTTAAGTTCATTAGAATGATGAAAGAAAATTTAGAGATTATTGAATCTGATCCCACTTTCCATTCTGCACATACTAGAAATGAGGATCCAAATCTCAGTGTCTAGTATTAGGCTTTGGAACACGCGTTGGGCAAATACAACACTCCTACGATTACCAATTCTTGATAGCAAAATCATATTTTACTTATAAAGTCAAATCTGAATCTTGAATTGCAACTTGGAATTGCAGGTAATTAAAGCACTCAGGAGGCCATGATTCCTCAGGAGGCAGCATCCTGGGGCAGCCTCCTGGTTAAAGGCAGGTGCTTGGTAAGGAACATGTGGAGAGAATGGTCACAAGGGCAGAGCCAGCATTTCTCCTTTGTATAACGTGGCTCCCAATATAGTCCCGTCTACTACATTCGTAGCTGAGTTTCAGATTGCTGTTCCATCTCTCCATGACTGCCTTAGTGCTGAGCTTCCAGTTGTGTAGTCTAAGCATTACCTAAGATGCTTAGAGGCTTAAAAAGGTCACCCCAATGTTCACAACTGCTGTACAGCCCCGTGGGATGCTTCTGGTTCGATCTAGACATTTCCTAGTGGAAATCTCCTTGAGAGTTCTCTGCTTGGAAATGTGGGGACCCAGTAGCTACACTTGGGTTTGTAAAGGAGTTACTCTAGCAGTCTCAAGCCTCATGCCTTCACATTTCTGCCCAGACACTTACCTCGGGAAAACAATGTCTCAGATGCGTCTTCATCTCCAGCTCTTTATCTGAAGTTTACTTCCTTTAAAGTGCTTCACACGCATGTGTGGTATTTCATGCAGTTTCGTCCATGTCTTTTAGAGAACTTCTGGTTAATTCCAACGAGGTAGAAATCATTTAGGTTCACTTATCATCACTGCTCAACGACAAAAAAATCCCCATTTATCAAGCACGTGCTGTGTAGGAGAGAGACACATTTTTGCCCATGAGCATGGTGACTGGCTAGAGTTGCTTATTACTGTTGAGTTCTTAGGGAAAGGAAACTGGGGGACACGGGATGTGTGCTGTTGACCAATCTCAGGACTTCTTTGTTTTGATGGGTAACCACAAGATTCCATTGCAGCCACATGACCCCCCTCCTCCAGCATTTGTGGAAGGCCACCAGAGAGCCAGAACAGCAAGGTTTCCAGTGTGTTCGAGTCATGTGATTGGTTCCTGGGTTTTCTACCTGAGTCAGACCGGGTGGCCGTCCTACTTTCTTGATATTTGGCAAACACAGGAATTCTGAGAACAACGAGCACTTACTATAGAAAAAAAGATGTACCAAGGTAACGCTGTGTCATCTTGACAAGGATGACACCTACCATTCTGCAGCAGTTCACCCTGTCCAGAAGGTTTAAAATTTTTCTTTTAAATCTGAATTTTTAGGTCTACTAAAATAGCTTCTTCATTTCTAGAAGTATGTGTTGTTTAAAAAGTAAGTTGGTATTGAGAATTATAAATGTTCAAAAACGAGAGAGTTGAACAGAATTAAGGAACAATTTATTATTATTATTATTAGAGGACATCTTCTGTTGAAAGGCTATGTTTCCAGAATATTGACTAGAACATGACTTGTAAAGACAAAAAATGAATTTAAATGTACATTAATTGGAGACTGTTTAAATAGACTCTTCGTGTATTAGATAGTTTCCTATTAAAATACATATATGCGTGGAATAAACTTCCAGACATGGTTTACTGAAACCGTAGGTTGAAGACAAATGGTTATAATATTAATTTATATTAAATTTAAGTTATATTAAAATCTCTGCTTACATGTGTATGTAATATCTCTGGTGAACACGCAAGATACTGGTCTCGCTGGTTGTGTATGAACAGTAGAACTAGACAACTGGAAAGAAAGAGCGTGTAAGAGATTCACTTTTTTCTTTCTACTTTTTCATGGGTTTTGAATTCCAAATTGGGTGCTTGAATTCATTATTCAATAACACTTTCTGAAAGGCTGCATCTATGGGTTATGTGTTTTATCCTTACCTTCTCTGTTGTATTCTATAAATAGCATTACTTTTTTCAGACTTCTTTTTTCTGTTCTCAGAGCACAGAAGAGGAAGTTAAGGAGTCCTGTGAATTTCACATGTGGATTCTGGGGCTTCCCGGTGAAGGGAAAGATTCTCATGATCTTGTAGCCGGGGAGATCCCATTATTACTCAACGATTCACAGCCGTCGTTAATGCGATTAGTCACTGTTTTACAACTTAGCTGTCAGAGGCTCTGCACTCAGCTTCTATGAAAATGTTTGACAGGACCTGCTTTGGGGAGGACAGTGAAGGATACTCTCAGGAGGAGATGCAGGAAGAAAAGTGGACGTGGGCTGGAGGCTTCCCAGCAGGTCAGCTGCAGGCAGGAGGCAGGTAAAGGTGTCACCTTTTCTCAAATGGCTCCTCATCTAGAATTACATTTGCTTACCTGTTTTATTGTTAATCTTCCCTTATCAGCATATCAGTTTGTGATATGCTGGTTTCACAAAGATGGGAGCTCTATCCTGCTTCCTGCCGTGTCCTCAATCTTTCTATGTCTGGTGGGTAGAAGACACTCCGGGTAGCCCTGCTTAGCTGGAACACCCAGTGATGTCTCGTCTTTGTTGTTACTTTAGACACTGAATTGTTAGAAGGCAGTAAGGACCTGCGTGTAGGAACCAAGTCAGGCTAGTCTCTGAAAGGGTGAGCGAGGTAGAATTCAAGTCTCAAAGGAACTGGGGACTTAGAAATTTAATCATGGGCAAATGAGATCAGAAGCCAGCGCCGAACTAGCAAGTGAAAGGGGTTTGGTTGAAAAAGAAGAAGAGGAAGAAGAAGGAGGAGGAGAAGAAGGAAAAGGAGGAGAAGGAGGAAGAGAAAGAGAAGGAGGAGGAGGAGGAGGAGGAGGAGGAGGAGAAGAAGAAGAAGAAGAAGAAGAAGAAGAAGAAGAAGAAGAAGAAGAAGAAGAAGAAGAAATGGAATTGAAAAAGAAAGTCAACAGGCCAACAAAGCAAAACAAAATGATCTCATGAACAAACAGCAAATACCACTATAAATACTGAGAAGAGCGAGTCCTCTGAGAAGGCTTCAGCGGCTGGACGCTCTGAATTGTCCATGCAGCAGGCTTGCTGCGGAGTCAGTCTGCTGTTAGAGACCTCTGTGGTGCCGTGGACCCAGCAAGGGTCTAGACTGACCGTAGAGTCTA